AGGGGAGTCTTTCCAGCAGGAAGGGAGAAACAGCCCATTGTGATGGCATCCAACTGGATAACCCAGCACCGAGGAAAAGCTGCTGTAGGGACTGGATGCATTGAAACCACTTTTAGCAATACAATTCATTTCTTATTCCACATCTGCAGAGGAAAAAAAAATATTTAATTCTTTGAGTCCTAACTTTGCAAGTTACTGTCTTAATACAGACATGGTAAGACCCAAAGATTTTGTCCTGTCACCCACTATAATTTCTCAATCTGTATTTTAATGGCAGGGAAAATAGAACACTGTGCTGCTTCTCTGCAAATTACCATGTACAGAAATTAGGATGTTATGTCATAGAGTGTGATGCAATCATTAGAGCTGTTTTATGTTTGATTATTACTGATACTTTATAAATATTCTAGTATACAAATATACCATAGTACATTTCATAAAAATGAGCCCTAATTGCAGAAGGCTCTTGCTTCAGCCTTTCAAGAGCTAAATACCAAATGTATTCATTCACATTCAGTGATTATTTTGGAGACATTCACATTTTTATTCATGAATTTGAACAACTGAGCACTGCATAGAGCAGCTCGATTCAGAAAGAGGATTTCTGTCTCCGCATTTGCCTTGAATGTAACCACTGAAACTAGCGTGGAATTTTCAGGTTTGACTGCAAGGCTAGGATAATTATCACTGAGGATATTAAAAGTCAATCTGTTTTGATTTGGAGCGTGGTGGTTGTTTTTCTGTCAAGACGACATTATTAATGCAACTGTAGTGGTTTCTACCTACTTTCATAATTTCTACTCCTGCAACTCCTTCCTTCCATTTAACTGCGTATGTGTTACGATCTGCAGCATCAAGTACCACACCATCTTCCTATTCCTACTCATCTATAGATGGCTTCATTTTCTCCTATTAAGATGTAAATTAGTTCTTATGAATTTATGCAGATTTTTTTTCCCCACTTGCACAAACAGTAGAAAATACTGGTTTAAAGACTACTTCTTACCTTTATAGCCAGCGTGATATCAGCGTATGCACAAAATCCTCCACCTTTGTCACTGGAACAGTGATGAAAGCCACCCCCTAAACAGAAAAATGTCAAAGAGGTGAAAATCTACATGCTCAGGAACTCAAATCGGTTTTTGCAAAGAGACAGGGATCACTTGGACGTCAGGTGCTATTTTCTCTTTAGCAAATACCACACCTAGAGCTGCTAAACCCTTGCCTAGCAACACAAAACATCTCCCAGGGTGTCGGTGCTTGTCTCATACGTGGCCAACCAGCAGGCAAAAATGCTGCTGATGCCCAGACAAAAGAGGATTGTCCCCTTCTTCCAGCTAGCAGCCCGAGAAGGGAGAACTGCCCACAGGTAAGGTGCGGTGCCTCCGGGACACAACACACCTTGGGCACGCTAGAGTTACATAATTAAACGTTCTGGGGCAGGTGGAAAGGACGTGTCGAAAGTTCTTTTCTATGCTGAACATCAGGTTAAAAAAAAAAAAAAAAATAATCAAGAACTACAGCATTGTCATTATTTGCACATGCCATTGTCTTTTACAAACATTTGTACCAGAAGAAACTTTAAGAATTCCTTTTTAAAACACAAACACACACATTCTTTACATGAAAAAAGTACTCAGACCTCCCCCTCCCTAAACACATTTTCTTATAATAACTCAGAACTTTTTATTGAAAAATCCTCTACAAATACTGGCGCAAAAAACTTAACACGGTCAATTGATATAATTGGTAAATACAACAAGCTTAGGGGTTTAATGTCTATTTAATTTTGAATATTGGATAGTCATTTTGTGGAAGATGCGTGTAAGAAATAATGGAAAAATCCCCGGACTGATGAGCTGAGTCTCACACAACACAAAATACTGCTTCAGTAGTTGACTGGGTTTTGCATTGCTATTTGCTAGGAGCAGCAGAGCAGGTGTACTGCTCACTGTACCCTTCATAACCTGTTCATTCAAGTCTCTTTCAGGAAAAAACACACAGTCAAAACCAGACACTAACAGTACAGCCCTGTCCTCCAACATATCAACCAATCCCTTAATCTGGTATAATATCTAAATTGGCTATTATTAGATACTAGCACTGATAAAATCTACAAAAATTATAAAAATATTGAATGAAAATGAAGATTTTATTGATATATTTACATTTACTCCAAAGGTATTTCCTTGATCTTTTTGGCAGTACTTCAATAAAAACACCGCATCTTTATCATATCATATCTATATCATATCTTTATCCAGTTCTTTTTTTTTTTTTTTCCAAAAACTATTTTGTTTAATTATGAAGTTGCCACATGGGTGATAATGGATGAGAAAAATCCAGTACTTTTTATACTTTTTTTATTCCTTTGGAGTTGAGTTAAACACAATCCAGTCACTCTGTTATTACCAAAGTAACGTGATTTTACCCCATGCCATTTCAAGTCTCACTTAAAGCACTAAACTTGTACTTACCCACGTTGATTGCCCAGCCTCTCTCAACAGCCAGTTTTCCTGCCTTCAGAAAAATACAGCGAGAACTTCATGAAGAAACGAGGCAGTCACGGAACAGCACCCGCTTCCACCCCAAACCCAACTCTCAACACTTGGCCCATTGTATTTTCAGACATTTTACCACCACAGGTCATTCCAAAGCAGATCTCTGAACACAAACCACGCAACACGAACCACACAACATCCTCGGCGTAATTCATTAAAAACAAAAATACTTGATCTCTCATCCGGATTTCATTCTCTGGCAGTGGAAGAGATCTACAACTATGGGGCTTTGCGGAGATGAACACTGACCCCTAGCAGACAAACGAAGAAGGGAAAGTAGGAGTGTTGGTAAGAGCGAAAAGTGAGCAACAATCTCCTAACATCCTTCCTGTTCACGTAAAGCACAGGAGGAACGCAAACTCAAAATCCTGAAAATACAGACTCATGTAGTTTCAGAACAATGCCACAGTATAAAGTGTCCTGTGACTTCTTTTATTTTTTAAATGATCCAACATGAAAGGAATAACATATTACCAACCTTTTTCCCCCCACTACAAAAAAAAAAAAAAGTGCCTGTATCTCTCCCTTGAACTCAGATAACATTCAGGGCAGAAGAGAGATACACAAAGCTTAAATGATGAAACTTTAATTGGAAAAAATCTAAGTTATGCCAGGAAGAGTCAAGCAATTGTTTAACTGCAGTATTCCTTAACCATCATGTTAAAAAAAATATTACTAGCTATAATATTTTTTAAAAAAAGAAACCACAGATTCTTTTCCATAATCACAGAAAGCACACAATACACATCACACATGAAAGGAAGTCTGGGCAGTTGAGAATTCATCAACACCAATATTTATATTTGAACAGTTCTAATTTAGTATTAAGAAAACTGCAAGGAAGGTAAACACCCTCCTGTTACCAATGTGCCAACTTACACAAATTACATCTGGAGAAAAGACTGCAGTTGCTGAGCTATACAACTCACCAGGTCCCAGAGAAAGCCCGTGATCTGTGATTTAGCTTACTTCCTAGGGATTCCTCACTAAAAAAACTAATCCTCCCATATTGCTAAAATATCATTAAAAAGTAGAGAGACTCATCAGGCGTCTTCATGATAAACAGGACCATTGGGAAGAGCAGAAAATCATACTTCTGGCTTGTACTGCACAAATTTGACCGTCTGATGAATCCCGACTGCTTTTCAAGCACATAACTATTTCCCCATAACGAAAAATAATAAAAAAAAGTAAAAACTAACAGCACATGGCATCCAGATCAAACCTGAAGCGGCCAGTGACGTGAGGAGGTACGATGCAAAGAGGCAACGGGTGGCTCTCTCTTGTACAAGACCAATATTTATAACTAGTGAGCACACATTCATTAATTAAAAACAGCACAAGCACAATGGAAATCATCACAAAACTACACAAAAGAATTGACTACTTAGAACAAGTTGAAACAGATTTCACACACAAAATATGTCTGCACCCTCAAGAAATATCCAGGGTAGAATATAATCCCAGAGGTCTATAGATTTAGCCAGAACCTAGCATGTTCCTTCCAAACTGGTAATACTTAAATGGTCCTTAAAGACTGGTTTAACACTTTCAGTAGTTTATCTGATTTTCTCATGCTTCTGCAGACTTTTAGGCTTCAACAAAATCAGACACGACTACATGGTACAAAGGGTTTCACACATTTCCTTATTTTGCTATTCTTTGACTTGAAGTAACATATACATCCAAAAATACAAGAGCAACCCAAGACAATTAAGGTAGAATGAGGAAATGAGATTTAAGAGGATAGGACAACAACAGCTGGAGAAACAGAGCCCAAGGTGAGCAAGAAAATAAAGGAAAGGCACAAGCCTGAGTTAAAACCAGGCTTGGCAACCCACAAGGATAATTAAACGCAGTGAATGTCCCAGGACTCACGGTCTAGGAAGAAAGCACTGGCCAGTTTTATTTAACGACTCACAGCAGCAAGCAGCAGTTAACTCACTTCACACAGGTGATTTCAGCACCTTCTGATCTTTCCCTCTACTATCCCCTTACGTTCAAAAACTTTTTGGAAACCTGCCCCTCAGCTATTACAACTCTCAACTTTTCCTCCAGGCAAGACTTTTCTGACCACATGCCTATGTGCATCAATACATTTTCCAACCACCGCAAGTATTTCACAGCATCATGAAGTGCTACAACGCGTAAACACGAGGTTCCCCGTTATCCAAACCAAAACGCTCCAGTCTGCAACACAGCTCCAACGTGACAACATACTGCAACTTTCTGAAGGGCTCCAGCTTTTTAAAAGCCTGTGTTTGGGTGTTACAAAAAGAGTTCCAATGACGTACTTAAATCGCGCTGTTCCAAGACATTTCTGAAACTTAATGACAGATACTGAAGCCCGATCAAAAGTTGTCCAGTCCATTCTATTTGTTTCTCTACTACCTCTCGGTAACAAAAAAACAACTGCCAAAGAGTTACCTGTACACTTGCAAATCCAGCAGCTGGATGGGGCACGGATTTAACAGCAGAGTACGAAATTACTGACAGAATATCCCTTTTTTTTAATACACAACAAGGCACTGAGTACTTCTATCATTAAAAAAGTAAAAACAAGAGACAGCAGGGTATTTCATACTGCCTTAAAATCTGATTACAACTGCTTCTTTCCTTTCACACGGCACAACCCCAGGAGGCTGAAACTTAACAGTGCCCAAATCCACATACACACACAAATGTCAGTAGCAACGGTTAATCTCACAACAAATTAAAATAATTTAAGAAGAAATTTTAAAATAAAGAAAACTTGGCAAACTGCTTCACCAAACTTTTGGGCTTGCTCCTATCCTCACAGGCCAGACTCACAGATTCGACCTTTTTCATTGTTTTTGTAAATCTTACTGTACTGCCTTTTACGCACCAGTCACAGAAGAGCTCTTTATATTTTCTATGACTTTAACGAATTACTGACACATTCACAAAAGTAAGCATCTAAAAATAAGAAAACTTGATTCCAGTGCAGATTTCTAAGTGCCTACACTTCTATTGACAGAAACGGGAAGCCACCTATTAGCCTATTTCTGAAAATAATGGCATTACTTTATCATTCATTTACAGCTTCCCGGTCTCATTCACTTTTAATATCAAGTAGTTGCAATAAATCAAATTCTCATATCTGGCACAGACGTACTCCAAAAGGTTTGCCAACCCACAGAAGAGAGCTCACCAATAACTGGCTTCAGATAGATAAGAGAGAAAGCAATACGGGCTTCTCTCCTTTTCACATGCACCCACTGTACCAGCTACCTTCAGGAAGAGTAGTTAAAATGCAGCAAAAAAATCTATTTGTGCCATAATCGCAATGATTTCAGGTAGGATTATGTCTTCCATTTACGAAACCGTTATAGCCCAGTGCCTGCAAAGGGAGGTTGAGACTGTGCCTGCCTTCTCCCAGCACCACACTGCCTGGTTCCTCAACTCCATCTCTCATATGACAAGGAAGGAGAAAAAGAGCAGAAGCTGTATTAGCAACCTGCATCCTGCGAAGGCATCCTGTCCTCAGTACCCGGTTCAAATAACTCATTCGTGGCTTCAGCTGTTAACTGTTTTCTCTCCTCCTACTTCCTCAACATCTCTAATGACAATTCTCCGCCATAACTAAACACCTGGTGATGCTTACACAGATCTTCTGACCAGAGCGCTCATTGAATTCACTAGAAAACAATTCTGTTAAGGTGAAACGGGCTGTGTCTCGCTCGAGTGCAACAGAACTGCTTATGCAGTATTTACAACAGAAAAGTAGATAAACTTCAATCATTAAAATGAGTGAGATGATGCGATTTTTAAGTATAAACACGTAACCTCAAGAGCAATCAAACCATGCATCTCTTCCCACACCGTACCAAGGCCATCGGGTACATATCTACTTTTAAAATAGGTTCTACAGTGTCTGTTTCCAAACCTCCCATGACTATGATCTGCTTGTATTGAACACTGTCAAAACCAAATTTCCTTTCCTATCTATCGCTCCTTGCCCAGGCTGCCCCTTCCTGTCTCTTCCGTTTCTGCAAATTACAGATCATAAAAAAAAATCCCGAGTGTCCTTCACGGCGGTAGCTGCTAACAAGCAGCCAGCTTTGCTCCCGTTTAGGAGTAACTCACTTCCCTCTACAGGCCTCCAGGGAGTCAGACAAAATATCACAACTCAGGGACTTCAGTGTTTTGACCGACAAGTTGAAATACAGTAAAACCAAACCGAGAGCAACTTACCATTATTGTTCCTCCCGTCTGGGTTCGTAGAGGTTTCAAAACTTTCCTCTGGACAATGAAATTGGGAAGAAAGGCAACTGGTGGAATTTCTGTGATAGTAGCCACAACAAATGACCACTACAACAGAGGGGAAAAAAAAGAAAACTCCAATTAATGTAGCCCGTCTTAATGATGACATTTGGATCTCCCCTTGGTTGTCGTTTACTGAAAAGGAGCTCACAGGTCCTTAGGAAGCTTTTAAATACTTTTAGATGGAGATGACCAGAACACTCCTTATTAGTAACCTCTAAACATGTTCATCCTCTAGTTCTTAACTATAACAATCATCGCTTTCTGCCACCACCAGTAGTTGGTTCAGGTTTTAGTATCAAGTGGTAACAAATCAACAATTTTTTCACCAAGCTAGTATTTCAGAAAATCTAATATCCCTGGGTTTTGGAGGGATATTTGTAAAATGTCCTTCAGCAGTATTAACACCAAGCTACGCTCGATATATTGTTCAAACCCAAAATATCTTTTCCTGTGTCAAGTCAAAAGGATACACCAAGGAGAAAGGAGAAACAAACTGACAACTTGACTGAAAAGTTCCAGTCCTTAAGAGAGCACAGCGCAAATTTTAGCATGGAGAACTGATTACAATTTATTTAGCATATTAAACACTTCTGGAAAACGCTTCAAGGAAACATTTTGTTAAAAAGTTGCATCATCAAGAATATTATTTGAAGGTTAAAATGCAAAGTACTTGCAAAACGCAAATGCTTTTTTTGCAAACACGTATGGATTACTTCAAAGAACTTCTACTAACGTTGCTGCCAGCGACCACGCTTCTAAATATATTTCAGAGCATAAGTCACAAGCAAGGATGTACCCCTGCATCCAATACCGAAATATTCAGGTACTGCGAATTATGAATTTGACAAAAGATTGCCAATAGGCCCTATTTTCTTCAATATTAGGAAATTTAGCTGGATTCAGCACCTTTGTTGCCCAATCCCTGTTAGCTGCCTGCTTCCTAAGGACAGGATGCGCAAGCGGTCAGTTGGAATCAAAAGCAGTCACGTGCCAGACTCAGGGTCCTCTGATAGTCAAGAAAAAAAGCTCCTTTGGAATGCCAGTTTTATCAACATTCCAGCTGGGTGGGGTGGAGGGCTGCCATTATTTATACAGTTCTTTTTTTAGTTTTTTTATAGAGTTCTTTTTTTAGTCATTAGATAGTGTTTATATATGATTATCACTCTTCCCTGAATCCAGACCAAGTTTTAATTTCTGACAAGTTACGTAATTACATGTCTACAAAATTTATCAGTAATTTGATGGTGGTTGAGTGAGGCCAAGTATCTACCAAAAGAAATCCTAACTGATACTTTTGTGATATATGCAATTTGAATGCAAAAAAAGGCAATTTAAAAAAATATAATTTGGAAGGATTTTTCTCTATCGAAGTAAACTGTTACGTGTGAAGACCTGTGTGACAGAAGCCAACTGAGAGCCTGGCAGATGTAACTAATCTAGTTCTCATCTATTCAAAGTATTTTTATTTTTTATTTTTATTTATGCAGGGGTATATCCTTGCTTGTGACTTACGCTTTGAAATATATTTAGAAGCGTGGTCGCTGGCAGCAACGTTAGTAGAAGTTCTTTGAAGTAATCCATACGTGTTTGCAAAAAAGCATTTGCAGATTGCAAGTACTTTGCGTTTTAACCTTCAAATCATATTCTTGATGATGCAAAAAATCACGTGCCAAACTCAGGGTCCTCTGCTAGTCAAGAAAAAAAGCTCCTTTGGAATGCCAGTTTTATCAATGTTCCAGCTGGGCGGGGCGGAAGGCTGCCATTATTTATACAGTTCTTAAGTCCTAATTGTATTTTTGTCAACAGTTCATTTCAAGCTCTTACTACTTGCATATTGGCAGACATCATCCCGTTCCCATACTATCACCTCTCCATCTTCATTAGAAAATAAAGCACGTTGTTAAAGTGAACCTTGATAAAGCCCTTCTGCAAGATATTTTAGCTTTTAAACAAGTGTAACATAAAAAAAACAGATTTAATCCTGTTCTAAAACGGAATGGCAAAGGTCACATCTCGACAAAATAAATGGTGATCTCTAACGTGAGGCATGAGCACAAAACTGCAGCGAGCCTGGACACAGTTGAGCCACATTTGAATCTCGACGGGAAGGAGAGCAATAAGGACTCAAATCAGCAGGTGTGATGCTGCTGCAGGTTTTTAAGTGAATGCAAAAAATCCACACAAGGGAGAAATAAAGAGTATGCAGAGCTTTCTATCCGCAGCTGAGGGCGTTTACAGAAGAGTGCCAAGCCCAAAGACATCCCCTGCTTCCGACGTAGGCTTCACTGTGTTTAGGTAATTCCCAGCATACGGAGGGAAAAGTCATTTGACTCTCAGAAAACTCTCAGGATTCAAGAATGCAGCTACAGACGAGGGAAAATGCTTTTCAAACACCACCACTACACCAACCTGTGTAGTTTTGTGCTTTTCTTCAGTGTGTTCCTTGTCTTTTCCAACAATTCTTGCAATAAATTCTCAGAATGGCACTATATATACTTGAAAAAAAATCAAAAGGGATTAGTTTTACGGAATCATATACTTTCTCATGTTGAAAAAAAATAAAAATATTTTGAATAGATGAGAACTAGATTAGTTACATCTGCCAGGCTCTCAGTTGGCTTCTGTCACACAAGTCTTCACACGTAACAGTTTCCTTCAATAGAGAAAAATCCTTCCAATTTATATTTTTTTAAATTGCTTTTTTTTGCATTCAAATTGAATATATCACAAAAGTACCAGTTAGGATTTCTTTTGGTAGATACTTGGCCTCACTCAACCACCATCAAATTACTGATAAATTTTGTAGACATGTAATTACGTAACTTATCAGAAATTAAAACTTGGTCTGGATTCAGGGAAGAGTGATAATCATATATAAACACTATCTAATGACTAAAAATAGTAAGTGAAGGCATGTTATCACTTCCATTTAACTCTTTATTTCTACCGCTAGTATCATAAGATTTTTAAAGAGTATTTGCCTTCCAGTGCCTTGGATAAACAATTTAAAGTATGAATTTAAATTTGAAAAGTGAAATTCACTCCCTCTTTTCCTAAAAGGAATAAAGAAGTCAGGTTAACCTTTAACCAGATATATTTTCCTTCAATACATGCCTACTACCAAATGAACTAGTAGGCAGTACCTTCAGATGTGCAACACCTTATCAAGTGTAAATGTCTAACACTATATCAAGTTACACTCAAAACAAACCCCCAAAACAAAAAACAACTTCAAGGGTTCTTAATTTTCCTTGCTTAAGCCCAAACTCTGTAGCAACATATATGCTTTATAAGTAAAGTTCTGCAAGATTATCCTCATTATTAGTACTCTTAATTCCTTAACTACAAAAACTCTGTAGTTAAATGCCTTGAAAAATTATTAGTGTTCAAGGACTAAAAGTTAAACTGGAAAATTAATATTAGGAAGATAATGATAAAGTAGTTGCTTTGACACCAATGCATCCTGAATTAATACAAACAGCACATTAACAATCATGACCAATGTCACGCATTCATTGCATTCCAGTACTTTAAAAACAGCTAATAGTGCATCAAACTTTTTTTTAAATATGCAATTTTGTTCCTTAATATCTAAATTTAAACTGTGTTTGAGAAGTCCCTGGAACTAGTTCCAGCTTCAAAGGAAATATCAGGAACTTATAAATCCAACACGAAGCAACCAAGGTGATTGTGGGACAAAGCTCTGTGGGTCCATCCTCACCAGATAAAGACAGTAAGCTTTTAGCTTGAATTAACCTAAGATAAAATCATAAAGGACAGCAGGAAGCTTGTGATTTTCACAAGAGTTTCCAGGTGAAGGAACAAACACACTTTTATAATCAGGATTAAGATACTGCCCTGGTAGAAACTGCTGCGAGCCAGGTGACACATCCAGGCAAACCAACCAGCCCCAAAGCAATTTTCATACCTCAGTCTTCGAATCAGTGAGAAACAAATCCCTGTTAACCAAACGCTACCTTATCCTTAAGAGGTTTACTAGTTGCTTTAGCTTGCAACGACTGCCCTACAGTATTTGCAGTGACATAAATACAGAAACCTGTCAGCCCTTGCTCCCCGTGACTGAGCATTCTCGTTCAGTGTGTTCTCCAAACATACTCAAATATCATTACCTTTAAAGTAACATTTTTGTATATTCCTATAGGCCTTTACCTGACACATTAACATTTACATGAAAATTCAAGTCAAACGGATCAAATGAAGTTATCCGCTCTCGTGACCTTTTAAATTAACATTTTACAGCAAACCACCACTTGTCTTCAAACACTGTGCACCCATGCAGTTGGAAAAACTCAAGCTGGGGGAAAAAACCACGCAGGGAGCAGAGACAACGGATGATAGCGCAAGAACCGCAGGAACTGCACCAAACCCGCATGTTTTCAGCTGCCGAGTCCCCTGTGGTCACCAGCGCAAGGCACACGGCCCAAGGCATGCGCTGCGCTGGTGTATCTGAGCACCAAAACAAGCCACAAGTACCGCAATTATTTTATGAGCCTGCATCTACTGTCATCATCCCCCAGAGTCCTGCCACGCTCCCCAGGCACGCTGCCACCACCCCCACGGGACGTGGCCACCACACACTCACGTGGCCGAGCGAGAGTCAAAGCCCACGAGCACTGGAGCACTAGCCAGCATTCCCTATAACCACATCCACCTACTTTTCACCAGGCATAAAAAGTTACGTTGCTAACCAAGCCATTAGTTTTCAATCCTTAAACCTACACAATTTGCTAATTTGTAAAACAGATTAAAATTTACAAGTTCAGCTGATCAATCCCTTGTTTCAGGGCACTTCCAGAAAAGCACATCTTGCATTCCGTTACCCTCACTGCACAAGCATCATCCTCATCATTTGCATTTTTCAGCCACATAATATCCTCCTAGGACTTTTCACATATAAAAAATGGTACAAGTGAAAGACTTCTGTGGTCTGAAACTAACTCTAACCTCATTGCCTACCTCCTTCCAAAATTTCAGAATGCTGATAAGCAGGAAATCCAGTATTTTACGTAACGCCAGAAAAAGCGGAAAAGTACTGCAAGGAAATTATCCAAAGCCCAGTCATTACCTTAGAGACCTAAACTCTTCAAAGAAGTAACTGAGGAGGAACCACCTCGATTCAAAAGTCCGGATTTTGTTGTGAGGACAAGCAGGGAATCAGGGAGACCTGTCCTGCCAACATAGAACTAACTTCCAGTAGTTTGATCTACTTTGTGCAGACCATTTTGTTTCTCTTCAGCTGCTGCTAAGACACCAAACACCTCCTCTTCTTGCAAATGTGTGGGATTTCCTACCAAATTCATGCTCAAATTTTTAATGAAGAATACTTCAGTGATCCATTATTTGATGGGACTCAGGCATTCCCAGAAAGGCAAGCACCTTTGTAGTCTTCAAAGCTGATCTAACAGGAAACTATGCCATTTATTGCCAGACCTGCATTTGTCTGCATTTAAAAAAAAATAAAAATAAAACAGCACAGCAGATTTTGGATAAGGCAACACCAGAGGATACCCTGGGCCTTTTCCTGTCTAGCCACATCATTTGTTGTTTGCAGCTAAGCAATTTTATCCTCGCTGTTTGGCAGGCATTCGTTGGCATGACCAATACAACATCTTCCAGTTTCTATAGTGGCAGGAAATATTCCCTCAGGAGAAGGGAAACGAGAGGTACACAGCTAATCACATCTGAATGCACGCGACAGTACTAGTTTTGGAGTCAGAAGTTACCCGGACAATTCCCCGTGAAGACATCCTTTAGCTATTAAAAAAATGTTATCAATGTATTCCAAACGGAGCTAATGCACATCACAGCCTGCTTCAAAGAAGTGATTCAGTAAAAAGAGGTGGGTGGTTCTGTGGAATGAAGAGCTCAATATCAAGAATAGCTGCAATAAGATCAAACCTAATGATGTATGAAATTGCATGTAACTTTATAGCACAGAATGAAGAAGCATGAAAAGAACTCAGAAAAGCAGGAAGAGGGAAAAAAGTTCACACAAATAACAGACCCCTAAACATAGAAAAATCAAACACTGCAGGAACAGCAATACAAGGACTCTCTTGCTGTGGAAAGGCAAAGATGACTCAGAATAACCTCTTTTGAATTACGAAATGAAAGATTATTTCTCACACAAATCCCTTCTCTGCCTTCTGAGGGCTGCAAAAAAAAAAAAAGCAATGTCACCTGTGCTCGTCTACTACTCGATTCCACCCTAGCTGAATGAATACATTCACAAATGGAGACTTGGCATGTTTATGTTTTAAAGTTACATCTGAGTTTAACAAATGGATGTCTCATTTAGAAACACGCAATGACTCACTCTTTTTTCCCTGTGAATATACAGTCCGTATGAGCTGGTATTGGAAGCCTTCGCACACAGATAAGGTGTGAGGTTATGCCCCTACGCTGATCTCCCAACTCTCTCCACATTCCACCAAAGCAGGCGTCGAAGGGCGAAGCCAGTACAACCGAATCCCCACACAGATGCTCTTTTGAGATTACATTAACCTCAAACCCATAAATCAATCCTTGCCTTGAAAACCTTCCAATGCAGTACTCCAGTTTAGTGCTCTCCAAGGTATTTTCAATTTCAGAACCATATTCTACTAGAAAAAATCAAAACTTACACTTTGGAAGACTGAAACTCGGCTACAAAGGAGGCTAGTATTTATCTCTCAAACATTAAAATTTTTGTTACGTTCATTTAACCTTCCTGAAACATCACTTCAGGTCACGTATACATCATGGTAGAGCCTCCTTCCCCTCCACCCCTCTGTAGTGTGAACTGCCTTACTATTTCTGTGTTTTAATTTTGGCATTCTCAATGACAATGCTATCCAATGTTATCAAAACACACCATTCCACCATGTGTAAAAGTTGATTCTGTAACAAATCTAGTAGGATATCTGTTGCCTCTGACACCAATTCTAGACAGTTTGCATGAAAAACACATTAATAAGTACAGCACCTTTAATTTATTAAGGTAGCGCCTTGTGTGAACAACCAAGAGATCTTCATCAGTAGCCTCCCGCGCCTGTACAATCAAGTCATCTGCAATTAGTTTTTCTTCTGAAACAGGAGAGAAATAACAATTGGCATTTTATACTATTGCTTAACTTCCCATATTCCATCCTGTCAACGAAGCTACTTTGACCTTGACGTAGTAACTTTATCTGTGACATAAAATCACCAGAACAACTTCTGTTTTCTCAGTGTCCACAACTTTTCCCAATACTAACACTCTTATGTATGTAGGCTATTAAGGTAGCATGTATATGGTGAGTATAGGTTACAGAAAATTTTCAGAGAATAATCATGGTAACTCCTTGTATAAGCTAAAAAAAAAAGACAGGTAGTGACAGGATAGACAGACACAGAAGAACCACAAGACACAGTCTACAGCTTGATACATTGGGGAAATTTTGGTGCTCCTGCCATCAAACATTGATCATTTTTGAACAGGCTATAAAAATTCCAGAGTTGATACCAGTATTTAATTCCCTAAATCAGGAGAATTGAAATAAAATATATAAAAAAAGATTCAAAACAAAGTAATTGCTTGAGTTTTCATGGAAGTAAACACACTTAATTAGGATATTCCTGTCGCGCCTCTACCTCTATTTAATTTCAAGACATACCAATGACCAGCTATTAATTCTCCTTCTTAAAGACCAAAATATAGTTTATTTTAGTTTTAGAAGAGCAAGTTGCAAAATATCACAGCAGGATTTCAAAATGTGATGAGACAGTATGTTTGAATGCATATATCTAGAGAGACTTACCAGAAAGTTCAAGTTAGGGACGACTGAAAGAGCCAAGTCGTGCAGAAAAAACAACACTGCTGTGCAGATGGTCACCACAAATGATAAATAAAAGGTGTTGTGCTGACCTTCCTCAACAAATTTTTCTATTTAAACACTGCGCCGTTGCAGCCTTCTAAGACTGCACCTTTTGTTCAATTTAATACTTGGAGGAGGAAGGAAACAACTCACAAATGTGAGAGATTTTGTTCTGAAGTGTTATACAAGAACAGCACCTGCAACAATATTTGTTTTGGCAAGCTTGTGTTTCTCTTGACTGAGGCTTGGGGAACGTTTGATTCATTCACTGGTGTCAGACAGAAAGCCAATGCGCTAACAGTTTCACTCTTGAGGGAGGAGAAGGTTAAGTGTAGTCAGACTTTCATCGGTGATTTTCTATAAGATTATAGGGAACAGCCCAGGTCAACTGTTGCCAGGAGTTGCTACAGAGCCAGAGAAAACCGAGAGCACCCTGGAGCATCCTCTGGCTTCTTTCTCCTTTGCAAAGTAAGGGGAGTAAAACGATAGTGAAAACTAATTTTCTATGAAAGACTGAGTAAAGAGCAGCCACTTCACACAGAAAAGAGCAGAAGGAAAAAACCAGCTTCAGTCAGAGAAGGAGCAGAAAGGCAAAGGTTTTCATTAACTAAGAAAACAGTCATGGAACCCAAGACTTAATTATTTGAGGTTGTAAGAGAGAAGATCCAAAACTCAGCTACTAAAGGGAGTGTTGAAATTCATTTAACCGCAGTTAAATGAATACAAGACAGCTTAAAGTTGGAATGGCAATACTTAACCACAAAAGATTATCAGTCGAAGGAGCCATTAGGACCACAGAAAGTGAAAAAGCTCTTTTTCTTTCTTTTTTTTTTTTAATTTGACAAGCAAGCTTAAACTTTAGCTGAAGAGATGCCAAGATTTTATAGGCCCTGATCCTAGCCTTGGTTCTTACATTTGTATTTCCTTAAAGTATTTCTGCCTATATGTTGCAATTTGCAATATTGCAATAATGAGCCCCATCACAAAAAGTTCTGTCACGGGAGGCATCTCAAAGCTCTTGCAGACATTACCAGAATACTGTCACGATGCTGACAAAGAATGGATTTATATGAGCTGCACTTCAGCCTGAAAAGTATCATTTGCCAGCAGACTGTCTGCAGTCCAAGTTGAATTAAGTTACTCCCTGTAGCAAGGCAGTCATTAACACCCACAATTTCACAAGCCACAAGGAATATCCCAGTTCTTGCTACACCAGGTGTAAAGCAATAGAAGCACAAGGCCGGAGGAAGCTACACACAGCACTCCCAAACTGCAATTCAGGCCTTGCAAGCCAAACTGTTTGTGAGCTTGCAGCTAACGCAGGAAGGATTTTACATTCACTGCTACAAAACTGAAGCTCGTGTTCTGTTTTAGATCCAGGCTTGGTCCTCCAAAGAAAGAAGAAACTAGAACTGCAGAGAGCAGCCATGCTCAAGAGGAAGCTTAAAGCAAACACTGTTCTCATACATTAATCTAGAACTGAAGAAAAGTGTTTGAATCATGAGAAGTCTGTCGAGTATCAAAATAGAGCTCACTGAGCTACATCCACAGGTCTCCAGCCTTCTGCACCTAACTCAGGCTAGGCTGAAAGTCAAGGTTCTGGTGCTAACTTCAGAGGTGGAAACAGTTCCCAAATACCCTGCGTCCACATTTCTTGTAAAGGCCAAGCACCGAAATGCTGCTCACTTCATGCTTTCATCCACATTGCAAAGACCAGGAATATATTAAGATGGTCTAATACACTGCTATGCTCGTATTTCTCCTTCCTCCTTTTGACTCACAGTCGTGTAAATCTCTGGGCCAGTCTGAAATGAATCGAACTAGTTACTCCGACTAGTAGTATTCATGCCTCTGAGGAGAGCAAGTCGTTTAATGAGCTTGAATTCTCAACTGCATTTCAGAAATTTCACTCTGCACAGACACTGTAACTGAGCTCACACCAAAACTGTGGGTTTATTTAGTGGAGCAGGTAGAAAATATATTTTTCAAAGGACTGGAAACAGACCTTTGTATTAAGAAGCCCTGGTGTAGCATGTTTTCTCTAACGTTACACTTCCATCCTTTAAATACTTCACAGACAAGATCATCAACAATGTGTAACACATGACATCCAACTCACCTCAGAAATCCTACAGTCAATCTAGCTTGCTAAGATTTAACTCTGCAAATATGTAAGAATACTAAAGCACTCCAAATATGATTAAAGACCGTAGCTTAAATCTACACAACAGGCAATGAAGATGTACAGTTGCTATTATATCGGCAATTATCAACCTAAGTCTGCACTAACTACATAATTTCTATTAGCTTTTGTGCAAACATCTGTTTAAGAGGTACCTTCTGGTGTTTTTACCTTTCAAAAAATTGATTACTTTTCCCCATTTCCCTGCATCGAATGGATGCAGTTTCTCAAGTCCCATGAACGTGATGTTGTAGTCTGGAGAATATACGATAGGGCAGCATGCTGACGGAGGATCCTCATACAATTCAGTTCTGTGAGGCCTTGAAAAGCAAAAAAACAAACTAGTCACCGCTTTTAGCAACTATTTACAAAGTCAAAGGTTTTTCACTAAAAACTCAAATTACAGTCCTTATTAATACCAACTTGATGTTAGGAATGATTCCTGAAGATGCTATTTCCAACAGTTACTAAAGGAAACACTTGGTTGTTTAACCGCTCCTCAGCAGTAGGGTCAGAGAGAGGAACACCACTCACTTCCAATCAGTACAGTTAAACTCCTGAACTAAGAGATAATGAGGAAAAAAAAGAATAACTGAAGACAGAAGAATATACATCAATGAGTTACACATGCAAAGCTCATTGCAGAATCACAGAATCACAGAATGCTGGGGGTTGGAAGGGACCTCAAAAGATCATCCAGTCCAACCCCCTGCCAGAGCAGGATCACCCAGAGCAGGTCACACAGGAACGTGGCCAGATTGGTTGTGAAAGTCTCCGGAACAGAGGACTCCACACCCTCTCTGGGCAGCCTGGGCCAGGGCTCTGGCATCATCAGAGTGAAAAAGTTTTTTCTAATATTTTTGTGGAACCTCCTATGCTCCAGCTTGAACCCATTGCCCCTTGTCCTGTTATTGGACACCACTGAAATACATTAATTAAAGGAAACATTTGCTTTTCTCCCATCTTTCCGAGTTTGTCAAGCAGCACCTCTAGCTCACAAAGCGTACCTGCTTTTACAGACAACATAACCTTCGATGAATGCATTACCAGACTTGTATTTCAAAGCCTGTATCAAAACAAAACTGGAAAAAACAAACCACACAGCTCCAACACATAATACTTCCAACAAGACAAAGGTTATAGAGTTCTAGGATCCTTTCCTAGAAGCAACAGACCACTTTGTGGCCAGCTCAGTGAACGCTAAGAGGCTTTGCTTTGTATCTGCGCAGCACACAACCACAGGACCTGCTCTCCACTCTAGATCCTTAAATCAAGGCTTTCCTGCACCAACCCTGGCCAGGCTCTCGATCCTCCAGGAGCAAGGAGAGGCAGCTGGGAGCCCTCCCTCACTCCCTGTCACACATCAGTCAGGCCAAGCCCTGCCCTGTCCTTGCAGACAGTGCTTTTACAGGCACAGGCGGTGGTTTTTACGCACTCAAGGCAGCAGTTTGGGTGCACACGGGGCTCTGCGGTCAGGCCCAACGCCGGGGGCCGTTCCGTGCCCACCCGCTGGCCGAGTTCCGCGGAGGCTTCTCTTGCTCCCCGCAATGTAGCTGAGCCCTGCAAAAGGCTTCGCAACTTCCCGAGCGAGACAGAAGGGTGTTTTGTCAGGTGAACAATGCAAACAGAAAGCCCCTTATTTCCCGCCTGAACA